GTCAGTCAGTCAGTCAATCAAATTTGTCACTGCCCATCTTGTTAAAGAGCGACTCTGGGCAGTTTACAAAGAAGTTAAAATCAATTAAAAATACAATATAAAATGGTCTTGAGTAAATAGCCAATAAATAAAATCCAAGAATAGATGTTAAGTTGGCAGGTAGCTCAGGGAGCGTCATCAAGGTGCCAGCCACCCCCAGGACTGGGTAAAATTCCTGTTGCCCCACACAAGCTGGCAGAGCTAGGTCTTTAATCCTTTAATATACTACTGTGTTTAAGCAGTTTGTGTTCATGCGTTCATTTTGTACTTCACTTGCAATTCTATTGTTAGTCACCTTGAGCATTATATTTAATAGAAAGATATGATACAAATTTAATGACTCACTTAACAAATATAACAAGCAATAATATTGTTACTGAATTAGAACTTATCAGCTAAGCCCAGTTGAATTTAGATGCCTACTAAAAGTGGCTTTTACTCTGTTAGAAGTTCCGAAAGAAATACACAGTGAAACTGTTATCCGTTCCTGATGGAATTACTTACTTGGACAATAGCAGGATCTTGGGGCAGATTATGCTGTGCTTTTGGTGGCTCACATACAGTGATATCTTTAATATCACTCCCTCGAAAGATGATGTATTCATAAACTTCTTCCCTTGGAGGAGCAGGGCGGTCCGTGGGACGATCTTCTGTTCCAAATGAGCGCACTTTGAAGAAAGACTTAAGTGTTACTACTTGAACGCAACAGCTATTTTATACCATCTTTATATAAATATCTCTTTCAGCTATATATTTTGAGCTATGCTATCAATTCGCAGAATGCAAGTTAGTATTTTTTTAAGAACTTATACTGACCTGGCTACTGAGTGGTCCAAGTTGTTAGCACTTGTTGACCAATATTAAAGGCTGCCTCTTGCCTCCCTCTCCATTACACTGTATTGTTGCTTTGGAATTGAGATAACTCCTGTGAAGGAAAATTTATCAACTGACAATTTCTCAAGTTTTTCTAATCCAAAGAGTAATGGAAGAGCACTTATTTCTCTTCCATGTGTCCTCCCCCATCCATGAGGTGAGGCAAATTGTGGCTGGGTGACAGGACATTCTAGGTGTCCTGCTTAATTTTTCGTTCAAGAAACTTACCTAGCACTTATGCTGACAGGATCTATTTTTAAGCCCTATTTTGAGAATATCCATTAAATGACTTAAATTACATTCATTGATGGTCTTACACTAAAAATGTTTAACTATGCACTAAGAATTTGTGATAATGGCAACCAACTTTAGATTACATTTTACACCACCAGTCACAGAGATATCTTTTCTCTTACTATTGTTGCTAGAATCACATATGATATGATGTTATCATCCTCATTTCCTGTTTGAGATATCAATTTGGCCACTCTGGGAATAAAATGCTGAATTAGATAGGCATTCTTAAGCCAGGATCCATCCAATATTTTTACAGCACTAGGCAGAAACCTTTTATTTTCCAAAGCCTTTAAATCTTGAATATATTTTTTCTGAACAATGAATACTTCATTACAAACTGTCATCTTTTAAAAAACATAAATTGGCTGGAAATACTTATTACAGAATACTACATAAATTTTTAAAATAAGCATACAAAAATACTCTTTTAATGCAAGTGGCAGCAGTGCTACAAATGCTGTTTTGTATGAGTGGTCCAGCAATTAAAACAGATCCATCTTTGTTCTCATGTTTCAAATAAGCAGTCGAAATTATATCGGAATGTTTGTTGTTCACTAACATTGCTCACTTGCAACAATGAAACCATATAACGTGGGGCTGAAGAAAGTGAAGTAAACCAAATACTGAAGGAATTCATCCCTCTTCTTCCTTTAAACCATACCTATCCACCCCTGTAGAATGGAGCAATTAGCAAGGAATAGTTTGGTACTGAGACAAACGCAAAGACTTGATAGTGATTAAGTTTTTAATTAAGACAGTAATTCTCAAGCCAAAAACCTGTGTGATTTGCGATGGGGGTGAAGGAGAAAGATGACATTTGAACAGGAAGACTAAGGAGTTGTTTCACACAGAAGTAAGTATAGCCTAATAATAGGATTCACTTTTTACAGGACAAAAATTACATGTGTATTAGGCTAACTGAATCAAATTAGTAGCACGTCATTCTCAGGATAGCATGTTCCTATGTTTTCACTACAGCTACCGACAGGCTTCTCCATTCATTCGCATTTGTTGCTGCCAGACTAAAGCTAAAGTTCTAGTTATATGTTCAAGATATTACTGCCTCTGTGCCAGCTAACTGTGCACAACTCTTCTGATGCAGCTAATTTTTTAAGCTGTACCTCTTTTATCTCCTTACTAAGCATAATCACAGTATGCTCTCATAGTATGCTATTGCCTCTTCTTTTAGGAAAAATGACATCATGGTTACAGGTAGTCCTCACTTAATGACCACCACAGGGACTGGAACATTGGTCATTAAGCAAGGATGTCATTAAGCAAGTCACATGACCAGACCAGATTTTACGACCATTTTTACAGTGGTTGTTAAGCAAATCATGTGGTTAAGTGAATCCAGCTTCCAAAATGGACATTTTTTGCCAGAATTTGCTTAACAACCACATGATTTGCTTAACAACCATCGTAAAAAAGATCGCAAATCATAATCATATGACTGGCGGGTGCAATGGTTTGCAATGGTTTTATGTGCAAGTACAGGTCGTAAAGCACTTTTTCCAAGGCCATTGTAACTTCGAACCATCGTTCAACAAATGATTGTTAAGTGAGGACTACCTGTACTCCATCTTTAGTTGTTGAAGGCAGGCAAAAGCAAACTTATTACACCCAATACATATCAAGAAAAAGATTAGTAATAGAAACACAACAGATTCCATCAGAACAAAGTTATACTACCCTTTCCAGTTCCCAACGTGATGCAAGAAAAAGACTGGGAAAGAATTTTTATATTAGAGAAGTGAATAAAGTATTTGACTGAGAAGATTTAGACTGCTCTAAACTCATTAAGATTACTGAATCATCAGCTGTCATTCTTGATCTAGTTAGGCTATTAAAAGGCAAAAGATTATTGTCTGGCAAGTATATTTTTAAGGGCCCTGCACAGTTTGAAAACAATTCAGAACTACAGTGTCTCACCACTACTTATTAAACCAGCCCAATGATTTTACCTGAGAAGCAGTTTTCCTGTGTTTTAAGGAATTCAGTCATTAAAGTTAATGAAATCCTGAAGTAGAATCAACTTTCTTTTCAGGATTGCGCAGAAGCCTGAAAACATCAGACTGCTTTAATGAACTGGTCAGTGGCATTCATTAATTCATAAGATTTATATGGCCGCCCATTTGAAATACATGATTCTGTGTAGCTAACAATATTAAAAATAATAAAATCATATACAAAAACATAAAACTCCTAGCAGCCAAGAGAAAATTACAACAACATCAGGCAGCACAACCAGAAAATGGGCACTATCACATACCCAGAGCCCCAGGCTGAAGCACAGAACCAAGTCTTCAAGGCCTTGCAGGAGGCCAGCAGATTTGGGGTCAATATGAACTCTGGAGGGATGACGTTCCAAAGGGCAGGCACCATGGCGGAAAAGTCTCTCCTCCTGGGCCCCAACAGCTGAAACTCCTTAGCAGATGGGACCCAGAGCATGCCCCTACTGCTGGACTGGATAGAACAGATAGAAACAACCAGGGAGAGATGGTCCCATAAGTGATCCAGCTCAAGCCATAAAGGGCTTTAAAGGTGACTACCAGCATCTTGAATTGCACCCAGAAGCACACTGGCAGCCAATGCAGTTTGCAATGCAGTGATGTCACATGTGCCAAATAATAAACACCCTCACTCAATTGCCTGTGCCACCATATTCTGTACCAGTTGAAACCCCATGTAGAGTGTATTACAGTAATCCAATTGGGAGGTCATTAGGGCATGAATGTGAGCAGGGCCTTCTAGTCCAGGAACGTGTACAACTGATACACAACCCAAAGCTGTGCAAAGATCCTCCTTACGTGTGGCTGCTTCCTGCTCCTCAAGCAGGAGCCGTGTGTCCAAGAGAACCCCCAGATTGCACACTGGTTCTGTCTGAGGCAGTGCAAGACCATCCAGAACCAAAGATGGAAGATCCCCAGAACCAGAGGACCCAAAAACCCAAAGCCATTCTGCCTTTTTCCTGCATAAGATTGAAAGTGCTTATCCAAATCTTTATTAAGAAGTGCATGGCCCTACATTTTTTTTTTTTTGCTCTGATGAAAATATAGGATCAGAGTCTACTCTTCTATGCCTAAGAAGGGCAAGGTTCCTCCCTTGCTAAACTGACTTCAGAAGCATATGAGAATGACGGAACCTCCCAATAATTCCACACCACATCTCAGAAGAGTTTTTCAATGTCTGACATGTATCGACTAGCTCTTGCGCTTCTCTTTGTTTATGGAAAATAAGAGAACCTTACTATAGCTGAAATGGGTCTTGACCTCAACATTATCTCAAAATCTTCTGTCCCCACCCTCTGATAGTGGCAAGTAGTAATTGCTATATCTGATCCAGCTTGTTTGCTGACTTTTGGTTAATGGTATTGGATTTGTCAATCCATGGTAAATAATATTTCTTCATATTATGAAGAGCAATTTATTAAAATCCAAAAAGAGCCTACTGTTGTAGAATAACTGATATATCACGGCCAGACTGAAAGAGACAACAGCTAGAATCAACATAACCATCTCAGAAATACATACAATACCACTTTGTTAACTGAAAGTAGAACACATTTAGAAGAGATTCTTATGACAATAAAAATCTATTAATATTAAACATCAAGAAGACAAAAGTAAAGCAAAGCGGCATTCTTATAATTGACACTTAAAACTAAAAAGGATTCCTGAACCACATACAAAAAGTTTTAATATTAAATCTGGGGCTTCAGGTGAGAGTAATAATCTATTGCTTTAAACATAATTGCCAAGCACTCAAAAATCTCTGAATTGCCTTGAAACGGGGTGACATTTGAAGTGAGCAATGACTTTGGCATCTGGGCAAAAGAAAACCTTGGCTTTCATAACTCTGTTAAGAATATCTAAAGGTTCAGGTGGTTTTATTTTCTATTCTTCTGTCTTGAAAAGAGTAACATCTTTTTTCCAGTGTTTGCCATTCCCATTCAAGTAATCTTCAAATCAAAGCATATTGACAATTGCATGAAAAGCTGCTGAAGCCTGAGATTCAACGAAGTGGGGAGCAGCAACCTCTGCAGAAAGCCAAGAGTGTGGGACTTCATTCGGCATTCCTTGGATTTAGGGGCATGTGTGTCTTGGGAGACACCATTACATAGTCCCAAGGACCAGACAATATCCACAAACTTTGGGACTATTATGACTATTTTCTATTTCCTAGGTCTGGAATCCACCTGCAAAATCATTGCATGCTTTGGTCTTGAAGCCAGTATCTTTGTCATGTTGGTTTCTATTTGGCCTCTAATCTCAGAAGACAAAAATAGGTTAAGTCTTAACATTTTGCAATTCTGACAAGAGTGTCATTAGATCTAACAAGTTTCTTCTTTGGTCCAGGTTTTAAAAATAAAAGGAGACTGGTGTCCATTTACAAAGGACGCACCTGGTTTTCTGCCTGAAGATCCTTCTGACCAGATCTGGGATTAACTGCTGTTTTAGAAATAAAGATTATATTTCAAACTTAGTTTGGAACTGAAAATTTAGGTGGACCATTCCTGCTACTAAAGGCTCTACTTTTTAAGTTCCTCCAGGATCAAAAGGTATGTTGTTAAGCAATCAAGGTTAAATGAGGATTTGCAAACTGATTTGAGTATCCTTCAGTGACTACTTTACTTTTCCACACCCCTTTTGTTGGGAGCAGAGGTACCAACTTGAATCAATTTCTTGGCTCCTGTATAGGAGCAGGGGCTTCCAATGGCACTGACATTATTTGGCCACTAGAGGACTTTGCAGCATTCAGCATGAGATCTGCTTCTATTTTCCAAAAAACAGGTAGATTTACAGTCCCAC